GTGAAACTCTATCTCAAAAAAAAAAAAGAAAGAAAGAAAGAAAGTCTGAGGCCTAGTGAGACCAACAGCTCAGGAGACAATTGCTATTGTAAAGACAGCTTGTCATACTCACAAATCCCTAACATGGAGCTCACATAATAGCAGCACAGGACACCCAGGGAAACCCCAGGGTTACTTAAGAGGCAGAGGGATGGACAGAGAACTGTGTGGTTTTGTGGCAACAAATGTGTCAGGGTGAGCAGCCTTAGGGTTGGCTAGTTGGAGTCATTTCCATGACCATGGGTATCTAGGCTGTCCCCAGCTGTATGGCCCTGGCCCTGGGGTGATTAGGGCAGAGGACAGTGGCCCAGATTGGAGAGATGGAGAGGGTAGGTGGTTGGGTGTGCATTTTGGATTGGTGGTTTTGTGTTTGAAAATCTCACCCCCAGGAGGAGTACTCCTCCCAAAGAGGGATATGACAGGGGAGGCAGGAAACCAAGGCACTGGGACTCAGGCATATTATGGGTCATCCAGAGCAGCACCTGTCTGACATATGGATGCAGGGCAGATGCTAAAGGATCAAGTATACAGAGGGTAGAAACATGATTCATGTAGTGGGGTGTGGACACAGGCTCATGCTCTGTCTGGACTTTGCAGCTTCATGAATTATTGGGACAAGGGAGAACCAAACAACATCAGGGAGGAAGACTGTGTGGAATTTGGCAGCCAGGGCTGGAACGACCTAGGATGCCACCATCTCAGATTTTGGAACTGCAAAAAGTCAGCAACCTCCTGCCAGAGGGAGGAAGTGCAGTTTCCCTTCTAGGTCCCTGCTGCCCCAACCCTTGCTCCTGAATAACAAAATTTTACCCACTTTTAAGGAAAGTTTCCTTTTCCAGGTCTTTGGTCCTTAATAAAATCCCTGGAACTAGCCTCTGTCTGATTACTCATCCTTATGGGTCTGGGTCCCATTCTCTTTCCTCTGCTGCCTGCTGGTTCTCCTAGCTTAGAGGCTGTGCTTCTGGCCCATTCCTGGAGCTTTAACGTCACCTGGTGTGGGTGCATTCAGGGGCTTGGTGTGCTCCATTAATCTACTGTCTCTTCCTTTCCAAGATCAAAACATTTGAATTGCTGTGTGTGGCTGCCACATCCCCGAGGCTTTACTCCATCTATCCACACCTTCCATCTGTTCATTTTCCATATACCATCCCCTGCACTCCTTTGATGATGCACTTGCTTTGCAAAGAAGTCACCTTGCTGGCTGGAAGCTCCAGGAAATTAAATACCCCAGTTCCCCAATGGCACCCAGAGATGGCATCAAAGCTCCATCCCAAACTCCTACCACACATACATCTGTTTTTTGTTGTTCTTTGCATCTCTTCTGTTTGACTGTTTCAGAGGTATATTCTTTATAATAAACTGATAAACATAAGCAAAGTGCTTTCCTAAGTTCTTTGGGTCATTCTAGCAAATTCCTCAACCTGAGGGGGGATTGCAGGAATGTTAAGTATGGCAGAGAGTAAGCAGGTGGCAAGGAAATGGCTAAGGGCAGAGAACAGGTACTGAGTAGTATCTGGGAAAAAACTGATTGGGAACATACCCAGTAAGGAGTCCTACTGACTTGTGACTGACCTAGGGCTCATTACCATCTAAGTAGCATCACATAGGTGGTGCTTTCCATGAAGGACTGGGGAAGATTCATGTACAAAGGGGAACTGTTTCATAACCACCCTATATGTAACTTGTTATGCAATCTGCTATGTAATCTCATCCTGTCAATCACACCAAAGGTGGGAAATGACAACCAATCCTGCCAGGACTAAGGTGGGACAAACTAGTAAGCACATAAAAGGCCAAATGTGCTCAGACTCTGGGTCTTTCTGCATTTGTGGAGACTGACCCATTTCTTTCTTTCTTTCTCTCTCTGGAGCATGTTTTCACCTTGTGTCACTTTATGTAGCTTTCTGCTTCACATTCACTTTGTATGACTTCTTTCTTTCTCCCATAATAAACCATTTGAGTGGGATTGCTCGGTGTATGTGATCACTCTGCCTTGGCTCAACTGAGTACCAATGCTCATTCTTGACACTGGGAACCAGGGGACCAGGGAATGTCCAGACAGACATAATATTTGGTGCTAAAACCTGGGACCTCCTTCTGAGTTTAGCAACCCAAGTCCACTAAGGTAAGATGATGGAGTGGTGCATGTTTTTTGAAGGCTTCTTTGTGTGTTTCTTGGGGGCTATCTTGACAGCTTAACAAAGCATCACTGTCTTTTATGGCATGCTACTTCCTAGCATTTGGTTTTTCAGAACCTCCATTTCTCTCCCTTGTCTCCACCATTGAAATGGAAAGTCATTTACAAGCCCCTGTGTATTTCCACAGCTTCCCTGATCAATTTTTTGCTCATCCCTTTTCTGGTGCTTCCCAGTCACCCTACCCCTACTGGGAAAAACTGTACTCTGTATGTTGCCATATTAAGTCCCTGTGTTTTATTTTTTTCTCCACCAGTCTTTGTGATTTCTCAGCTTCCTCACCTTAACTTTGCAAACTTGGCTCACTATTGCCTTGTTGACTTTGTTAGAGCAAAAGGGAGGGTGGAAATATGGTACTTGTTGAGAGATTCAGAGAGAGGGTCAGGACGAAGCATCCATAGAAAGAAAAGGCCAGTCCAGGGATTGGAATGTCTTTATTAGAAAAGGGTAGAAAAGGAGCAAAGTAGAGTCTGACCAGGAGCCAGTTCAGCTTTCACACAGTTTCAAGAGACTTTTATTATCCTTTATTAGTAGGGTTGAATTTGGGAGGGGGGTTCCCAGAGAGTCATCCTTTCTGCACAGGGATTGATTTTTGCACTCAGAGCAAATCTAGGAATTACTCCTTTAATTAGTTGCCAGCCAGGGCCAGAAAAAAAGTTAGGGTTCTCTTGTTTCCCAGGAACACCAGCCTTGAAACATTCCAGGGAGTGGGCAGGGGGTTTGTTGGGATCATGCAGTTTGGTCTCTGGCCTGCTCCTTCCCACCAGCGACCTTCCAAAATGGCTATACTCTTGTCAGGCTCATGAGGATTTCTTTCTCACAGCTCTTTACTTTTTATTTTAAGGAATAGGGGACACAGATCTCTCATAACTGCTTCCTGCTGGATGGAAGTGAAGACTCCTTTTTGGTTATAGGGGGGCTTGTTGGGATTATGAATGATTCAATGTTGACCTGACCATGCTTCTTGTAGAAGGAGAATTTGAGTAACAGTGTTGTTGGATTAAGCTGTGGACTGTATTTTGAATAAATTGGGTTACTGTTTAGGTGGCTCAGTTACTGGAATGTAGAATCTTCCAGTGAAGGGTTTAAGATCATTTGACTTGGGATCATGCCTATGATCTATCCTATAAGGGTACATGTGAATATTTCTAAATGTGGAATATAAATGTCTTAACACAACAACTATGAGAATGACATGAAGGCTATGTTGGCCAATTGGATGAGAATATTTCAAATTGTATGTGGAAACAACACACTATACCCCATGATAGTATTAATGTGCACAACTATGATTTAATAAAAAAAAAAAAGATCATTTGAGTCAGTGCTTTGGTCTGAATGGGTCCATTCTTGGAATACAGGACCTGAAAGGTATTTCAAAAACCACATTAGGGTAAAGAAGTAAAGAAAGGTAACAATGATTATTTTTCATTTCTTTTAGTTATTTTGAAATTAAAATATTTTATATGCTAAAACCTAAGGTATTATCATACTAAGAAGCAGAAGGAAAAAAATTAAATTGGAGTAAATCTGACTACTATATATCATTCTGTATCTTAGTTTTGTGAACACATCAGTTTAGTTAAACAACTGTGTCTCATTCTATGAGTTGGCATTGTAGACAAGGCTTTTGACTTTTGGAAAACAGAATACAGAAAGAAAAAAATTAGTTTAGCCCCATATAGTTAATTTCTTTTTCTATTTGAGGTCATGGTAGTAATACTTAAGGATATATTCGTTTTTTAAATTAAAGTTTGGAAGTTTGTTTTGAGTTTGATGGCAAATGACTTTTGAAATTATCAGAAATATGTATTTAAGAGAACGTATTCCCTTTTTTGACTTTCCTTAAAGGACTTAGCCAGTTAAAAAATGTTTTTGAGATAAATCAAATTAACATAGTTATCTAGAAAGGTCTTAGAATAGTCATGGTTGGCTGGGCACAGTAGTTCATGCCTATAACCCTAGCACTCTGGGAGGCTGAAGTGGGTGGAATACTTGAGCTAAGGAGTTCAAGATCAACCTGAGCAAGAACAAGACCCATCTTTTCTAAAAATAGAAAAACTAGTTGGGGTAGTGGTGCACACCTGTAGTCCCAGCTACTTGGGAGGCTGAGGCAAGAGGATTGCTGAAGCCCAGGAGTTTGAGGCTTCTGTGAGTGATGATGTCACAGCACTCTACCCAGGGCAACAGAGTGAGACTCTGTCACAAAACAAAACAAAACAAAAACAGGCTTGGTGCCTGTAGCTCAGCAGCTAGGGCACCAGCCATACACACCTAAGCTGGCAGAGTCAAACCCGGCCTGGGCCTGCCAAACAACAATGACAACCACAACAACAAATAGTTGGGTGTTGTGGCAGGCACCTGTAGTCACAGCTACTTGGGAGGTGGGGCAAGAGAATCACTTAAACTGAAGAGTTTGAGGTTGCTGTGAGCTGTGATGCCACAGCACTCTACCAAGGGTGACATAGTGAGACTCTGTCTCAAGGAAAACAAAAAACAAAAATAATAGTCATGGTTAAAGAGACAATTGGTAAACTTAAGTTGGTTATTTTTGTAGCATGTAGCAACTTAACATAATAATCACAATTATTACTCATAACATGCACTAAGACTTATAAAAAATTTATAATGTTGGAATATATATTAGTAACATGTATATGTAAATACAGTCTAAAGAAAGTTAAATACCATTTTATACTTGATAATGTTTTCTGTACAATTTTAACATTTCAAATAAGCCTACTATGTCTCTCTTACACTTTTAGAGGATAAAAAGATTCAATTTAGGAATTTTGATCTTGGAAGCTTTGTCAAATATCAAAGACTTAAAATATTTATTTAAATAGAATCACAAGTTAGAATATCCACTCCTTTTCTCATGGATATGGAAGTGTAAAATTGAAAGTGGGGAATATATAACAGCAGAAATGGTCTGCAAAATGGCAAAAATGTTTTCTGGGGTTTTTTAAACTTCTTTTGAAAACTGAGACCTGGCTCAGAGCCTGTGGCTCAAGTGGCTAAGGTGCCAGCCACATACGCCTAAGGTGGCGGTTTCGAATCCAGCCCGGGCCTACCAAAACAACAATGATGGCTGCAACCAAAAAATAGCTGGGCATTGTGGTGGGCACCTGTGGTCCCAGCTACTTGGGAGGCTGAGGCAGGAGACTCACTTGAGCCTAGGAGTTGGAGGTTGCTGTGAGCTGTGATGCCACAGCACTCTACCCAGGGGGACAGCTTGAGGCTCTGTCAAAAAAGAAAGAAAAAGAAAGAAAGAAAGAAAGAAAGAAAGAAAGAAAGAAAGAAAGAAAGAAAGAAAGAAAGAAAGAAAACTGAGATGTGTATCCCTGCCTCTGGCAGTGGTTGGTAGTCAGAGGGGCAGATGGACCCGAAAGCAGGAAGGCATCTGGCTGGCAGAGGTGTTAAGGCCCTCCAGGGGGACAGAAGTTATGGTTTTGTCTTAGGCAGAGGTGGACCAGAGATGGGATGATAAGAATTATTAATTATAATATTGTAACCTTGTTGTCTGTCTGAAATTTTTAAAAAATAATTATTATTACTTTTTTTTTTGTTGGGGATTCATTGAGGGTACCATGAGCCAGGTTATACTGCTTGCATTTGCTGGATGAATTCCCACTATTAACAGTGTCCCTCCCCAAGAGGTGTGTCACACACCGTGA